AGTTTCGGTTTCGGCGGCAAACCTGCCGAAACTACGACCGAAACCGAAACTGCGTTCGGGAGTTCTCGCGCTCTGCTCGGTCATGTTCGGCGCGTTAAATTCCATCCAAGCGAAGTAGATTAGTAGACATTTCGCATCTTCAAAAGAAAAATGAGTCTAGTCTACTATACTTACTCAAATAAACATCTCACCTATTTTAAGTATTTTTAAAGCGCAATTAAAGTATTTCCTTAAATGAGGGGTTGTTATGTTGATTTTGATTTGATTATCAATAAGTGAAAATGTCAAAGACTGCAGAACTATGTGATTTAAAGATAAAAAAATAAAATTGACTGATTATAATAACGTTTTCTTTATTTTTCTCTCAAAACATGATCCGTATAAGGAAGTTTCGGTTTCGGTTTCGGTCGTAAAAACCAGTTTCGGTCGGACACTAAAAATAAATAAATACATATTGGAAAATTTGCAGCAGCTTTTAACAATAATTTAACATGGTTTCTAAGAAAATATTTGCCTTAAAAAGTGCGTTTTGTTAATTATGGGTAGGTGATATTTCGGCTAGTTTATATGCCAAAACTTTTTTCTTCATAATTTATATTATGGTAAGGTAAAATAAATGAGTCGAATTTTGACCACACAAGATTTCTAGTTTAGTTAGAAACTCGATAGGTCACTTGTTCCCTTATCTACCACATCTACGAGCCACCGCTGGTCCAAGAATAACTTTTTCTTTACGTCCAGTGTAACAATGTTAATCATTCACGTAGCAGAATTTTGAGAGAATTCAAAAGCTTGCTTCTAATTTGCTTTGGACTGTCTTATATACTTGCCGTAAAACGACACTATTATTTGGAATACAATCCGTATAAAAAACTCTAAAACTTTTTCTTTTAGTAGAGACATGACGGTAACATAACAAATTTACGGAAAATGTTTGCGCTCAATTTTCGTTCCTTTTTATAAAGCAGAACCGACGGCTTGAATATTTAATAATGTTCCCTTTCGATATTTGTAACATGATGGTGGGTTTTTCAATTCTTCCCGGTATCGAACGGGCAGTTTACGAAAGTGGATCGCAGGGTGAAGCGTATCAAGTTTTCTCTGATGTCTCCGTGACGTGACGTTACCTTCTCAGCAAGTTGGAAAACTTCTCGGGCCAAGTCGAGTCACAACTGCTAAGTAAATCCGTGGCATTTCGTTCCTTTTTTACCGCAATTGACTTTTCTTATTGTTAGTGATGGCAACTGAATAAAAAAAAAGAAGTATTTTTACAGCTACCTACTTTCAATTTGCATTTAAATTAAAAGGGCTAATATAGTCGTGGTTGGTGTAGCAATTAATCGTAAAGAATGTTAAAGAAGTAATAGAATCTGTAGTAGTTTCGAATATGATTTTGTAGACAATTTAGCAATTTTAGTTGATTAAAAAGAAATATGTAACTATAATAAATATAAGTATACTTACAAGTAGCAGTTCTGAAAAATATAAATAATTAAAAAACGTTATCTAACTTTTGTGTTCGAAATCGGTTAATTTGGAAATTTGGAAAATGGGACGTTTAGAGGGCGACTGCATGTAGGTATGTGAAACGTGTGGAATGTGGGCGCTACGAAAAAAAAAAGGTTGGTGATGGTATAAAGGTGCTGTTAAAAAGGTTAGAAATTAGGAGCTAGCAGAGCGGGTGTAAAACAGATAGCGCAATGGAAGTTAATAAGAAATAGGCGATGTAGAGTGATAGGCCACCTTTTTAGTCATAAAGTGCCAGTTAGAGTCATAATAGATGCAGAAACAGTTGTTAATAGGGCCAAGGTAGACTTTTATCGATTAAATTACTGTTCGCAGATAGTTAGAAACGTACGTTTTTCCAGTTTTCGAGAAATGCGTAGATTGTCTTAAAATAGGATAAAGTGGAGGTGCGTATCCAACCCGTCTTTGGAATGAAGACTTTAGTTGACGATGATATAAAGATGACAGAAACTCTATTCTATCGTACCTAACAGGTTTATATCTACGTGTTATAAAAATGTGTGATTTCCCATATTAGTTATTTTAAAACAAACCATTTTTAATGGAACTGGAACGTTGAAGTAATACATTTCCAAGAAGAAATGTCTAAATTCTAAACTCATTGCAGAAGTATTA